AAGCTAGTCCAGTTATGAAAATCCATGAGACTCTTACCTCCAATAAACTACAAAAAGCTCTGTGCTCAAAGTAGCAGAGCATTAGTCTTGTGCATAAAAGCTTAGGGACAATGCTCAGGGCTTGAGTTCAAGCCCCAGGACTGGTACAAAAAAAACAATAATGGGAATGTAGTTGTGGAGGTGGGAGGGAAGGGATGGTAGGGGAAAAACAAAGGAAGAGGTAACCATGTTTGACAGGAAATGTACTCATTACCTTGCTCATGTAACTGTAAGTCCTCTGTACAGTATTTTTACAATAAAAGCATACAATAATAATAATAACAAAAGGCACTGTCAAGTAGCTATATGGCCTAACAAAAAAAAAAAAAAATCCCAGGATGGTGTCTGGCACATGGGACAAGTTCCCATTTCCTCTCCTTTCTGCCTTCAAATAAAAGGTTGATATTGAAACTGAACATTAAGGAGCACATCAAAGTCCCTCTCCAGACATAAGCTCACCTCTTGAAAACGTTACGCTAAAACTGGTCTTTCTTTGAAATTTGCCAATATCCATTGGAATTTCCCCCCATAAAATGGCATCTCTGGCACTTCTAACACAAGAGTGAATACCAAATCCCCAACCTCAAAACCAGTGACTCCAGGCTGGCTTAGTCACTGGCCAGCTTTGTGTCTATAACCAAGTAAGTAATCCTCTTCAGGCTTGTTTCCCATGAACTAGGGTACGTTTTTTAAAGTATCTTGACAGCAATGACAGCCATAAGAGGCTGTTACCAAGAGTCATCCAATAGCCCTGTTCCCATTCTTGGGCCTCCTGTCACCTGTGCTCTCATTCATCAGGCTGGAAGCACTAGGAGGCAAGGGGTACCTCACTCATCTCTCTGTCACCCTCTTCCCCCAACCAGTGCCCACTGGAATTGACCCAGGATGGAGCTCAGGGAAAGTCTGATAATAAACTCAAAAGTTTGCACTCCAGCTGAATTGAGAAAGAAGACCATATAGATTTTGTTGACATCCTTGTTATCTTCTTTTTTGTTTGCCTCCTCGAAGGGAGGCAAATGCTTACAAGCATTTCTCAAATACCAAACTTGCAGCTCACGTTCATCACACTAATAAAGCTGTTTTCATCTAATTTATTGCCAGCAAGGTCAGAAGATGTTTTTAATGAAGACTCTGTAATTCATAAAAATTAACCTCTAGAATAAACAGCTGGCTATGTGCCTTAGGTATAGCAGATGTTATGTTTCCTTCTCGAGAAGAAAAACCTCACATTAACATTCAAAACTCCAGTCTGGTCCCAGGTGTGAATGCCTGCAAAACCCACAATTTACATGTGACATGGAACAGGCAGGTGTTTTTCAGAAACCCAGCCTGTTTATCTTTATCCCCAAATTTAACCTATGCCACACAAACTTGTTATTATTTTGAAGCATTGCTCTATTAACTTTTCTCAGCTCATGTTTTATAAAAATTATCTATCATCCAAATCAAAAATCTTAATAAAAAATAATGCACTTAGCATGTTGAGCAAGATAAGCCAAGCACCAAAGGCCAAATACCATGGTTTCACTCTTATATGCAACCTAGACTTAAAATATTAACAAGGAGATGTAAGTGTGAAAGGGGGGATGCCTGCAGGGGACTTCAGTGGAGATGGGGAAAGGAAAAGGTACTGACAGTGAAGAGAATCAAAGTATGGCAGGCAGGCTGGCAGATAGATAGACAGTCAGACAGAGATAAGATAGCATAAATGAATGAACCAAACACCAGTTGAAAGTGGGGGGAAAGGAAAGGCTCTAAGAAAATATAAGGAAATACATTTACTCAAAGTATACTGTATGTATCTATGGAATTACTACAATAAAAAAACCCTGAATTATTCATTCATACTATTAAAAATGGGAAATATATTAAATTTATCAAAGAAAAGACAGCAGTCCTAACACTAATTTTTTCTAACAATGTTAGACTCTGTGTGTGTGTGTGGGGGGGGGGGGGGTGTGTGCGCGCACACACGTGCACTAGGCTTGAGGTTTGAATTCAGGGCCTGGAAACTGTTCTTGAGCTTTTTTGCTCAAGGCTAATATTCGAGCCACAACTCATCTTACAGCTTTTGGTGACTAATTGGAGAAAAGAGTCTCCTGGACTTTCCTGACTTGGGTGACTTCAAATCATGATCCTCAGATCTCAACCTCCTGACTAGCAAGAATTACAGGCATGAGCCACCAGAATCCAGTTGTATGTCTTTTGATGGAATATTGTTAGGATTGAGATGTAGTCCTATCATCTCCCCCCAATTATAGTTTTGCATCTCTTCTAGTCTAGTTCCTTGTATGCTTATCTAGTAATATATCAGGGTCTGTTGTCTTCATTTTTCTCATGTTCATGTTGATGATCTATGTGCATGAAACATCTGAGAATCTTCTGTAGTGCTGTTTTGTGGTGATAAATTGTTTATTTTTGCATATTATAGGATGTTTTTTATTTGTGCTTCAGTTATGAATGGAAGCTTTGCCAGGAACTAGTGGATCATGACTGTAATCCTAGCTACTCAGGAGGCTGAGATCTGAGGATCACAGTTCAAAGCCAGCATGGACAGGAAAGTTGGTGAGACTCTAATCTCCAATTAACCACCAAAAAACCAGAAGTGACACTGTGGCTCAAGTGGTAGAGAGCAGCTAGTCTTGAGCTGAAGAGCTCAGGAACAGCACCCAGGCCCCCAGTTCAAGTCTCGCAACTGAGAAAAAAAATGGGGGGGGGGAGGGGGGTGGAGAGGCCTGAGATCTGAGGATCACGGTTTGAAGTCAGCCAGTCAAGAAAGTCCACAAGAGTCTGCTCTCCAAAAACCCAGAAATGGAGCTTGGCTCAAATGGTAAAGTGCTATACTTGAGCAAAAGCTCGGGCACAGGGGCTGGGAAGGTGGCTCAGTGGTAGAGTGCTTGCCTTGCATGCATGAGGCCCTGGGTTCGATTCCTCAGCACCACATAAGCAAAAAGAAAAAAGCCGGAAGTGGTGCTGTGGCTCAAGTGGTAGAGTGCTAGCCTTGAGCTGAAGAGCTGAGAGCCAGCACCCAGGCCCAGAGTTCAGGCCTCACGACCGGACCAAAAAAGAAAATCAGCTAGGGGACAGAATCCAGGCTCAATTGAAACACCTTTGTACAGCTTTGTAAAGGTATTTTTAAGTAAGTTTCTTTTTTTTTAATTCTTTAAAAAAAAAACCTGAGAGTGAAAACAAGAACTTAGACAAGAAACAAAAATGCCTTTTAAGGGCTGGGAATGTGGCTTAGTGGTAGAGTGCTTGCCTAGCATGCCTGAAGCTCTAGGTTCCATCCCTCAGTACCACATACACAAAAAAAAGCTAGAAGTGGTGCTGTGGCTCAAGTGGTAGAGTGCTAGCCTTGGGAAAAAGAAACTAAGGGACAGTGCCCAGGCACTGAGTTCAAGCCCCAGGACTGGCAAAAAAAAAAAAAAAAATGCCTTTTAATGCTCAGTCCTGAATTTTTTATTCTGCAACTCAACTTAGCAGGACTCCAGACTCCAGATGCCAGTAGATTCAAACTTCAAAACAAAGAGTAAGCTGAGGAAATGACTGTTCAAATATTGTGCAGTTAGCTTGGGGAAAAAGGGTGGCCCAGAGACCTTTAACAACAGAATGGGCTCTTTGAGGCCCATCCAGAATGATCACTCAGCTGGTCGTGGCCTTTTTTACCCTGTCAATGAAGCTGTTTCTACACAGTTCACTGCTTATTAGGCAGTCTATCTAAAGTTTACAGAGTGGAGGGAATAAAAAGAAGGTTCCTGTTACCTATTTTACTGCTTATCAGCTTCTGTGACTACAGTAAGTTTGAGTAATATAAAGCCTGGGCATAAGTGTGACTTTTGTTTGACTGTGCTGCCCTAGTATTAACCAAGAAAAGTAAAGCCTCAAGTGTTTGAGATGCTCTCTCACAAATATCACCAAGTCAAAACTGCCTGTGAAGTATTTCCGTGCTGCCTTAGCACCAGAGGGAAACCATAGATGGTAGTGACGACGAGAACTGACAATTCCGCTCCACCTTTGCGGCCCTCCTGCTGCGCTCCAAAGGGAACTTCTGCTCATTGACTGGCATGAGCAGAGTCCATCAAAGATGTCTGCGGGACTTGAGGAGAGGAGTGGGAACACCAGGAGAAGCGCAGTGACCGGCTTCCTGCGGAGGTCAGCAGAAGACCAACAAAAAAAAAAAAACAGTGCTCAGCTCCAGACTTACCCAGAACCAGTTGCTCTTTCCAGAAAGCTCCATTCTTCATGTGCTGATCTCGTCTCCCCCCACCCAGAGGCCAGCATTTGAAGCCAGCATGAGATCAGGGTTCCACTGCCAGTGAGAAGTAAGTGGACTCTGGAAAGAGAAGCCCCCATTCCCCGTAGGCAGCCGGCAGGAGCTCAGAGGCTCAAGGCGAGAATGGAAACCCAAGGCAACATCTGGCCTCCTGTTAGTCAGACCCGGCTCTCCCACCGTGAGGGCCAGCCACAGGAACTCCTGAGCACATCAGCCCGGTGAGCCACACCATCCTGCCTTAGTAGGACCGGCCTTCCAGAGGGCTGAGCCCGGTCCACAGAGAAAACCCCGGAGGCGTGGCACGTGGAAATGTGGCTCTTCTGCCCCTGTCACACAGGGATTCTGAGGTCAACAACGTGGAGCCTCAGGACTTCAGTGAGGGACCCCTTCCCCCTTCCCAGCGGCCCCCACCCCCACCCCAGGGAACTTGGGCCTCTTGCCGCCAAGGGGAAAGTGAGCTGGACCTCCGCTCATGTGGTCTGGCCTAGAGGGGTAACGTTCTGTAGGACCAATGTCTATGGAAGAAATATTCCCTTGTTTAAATACAGAAAAGTATTGCCTACCAGAAATAAAGAAACCATTTACCTGATGGTTACTCAGATTTCTTGAGTCAATGCCATCCCTTACCTGGTATAAATGAAGTGAGCATTCTATAGTAAATTCTATAGTGAAGACAAAAGAGTCTGGCAAATGGCACAACACTTCTTTATTTCAACTTTCAAACCACATGAAGTTATGACGTCTGACGCCAAATCATGCAATGTTAAAAGAACAGTAAAAATATTAACAGAAAGAATATCATTTAAAAAAAAAAAAGTATTTCACATTATACTGCAGTGCTTTGGCAGTATTGGCAAGTATTTCTGGCCAACTGCTTCCAATAGCAGGGATCTGAACAAGCCCCAGGGTCACAGCAGAAGTCCCTCATTCCAAATCACTACACCACACTGCTCCACCCCAGTCTTTTGTCAATCTGACCTTAAAATGTGAGTAGATATTGTGCGTGATCACAATGAAAGCTACCTCAAAACCAAACAAAGTGGCAGGAAAGTAAACAATGTGTCTAGTAAGGCATCAGGAAGTCACTGCCAGTTGCCCTTCATTTCACCAACTTCAAAGATAGTAATTTTTCTCAGTAAACCCAATAATTCAGAAGCTTAATCAACAGGCTAGAGTTGAAGATATCTAAGACAGTCCTGTACTCTCTTGTTCGTTTTTATTTTTTGGTAAATGTTTCATATAAAACATGAAATCAAGTTCTACTGTATAAAAAAATTGAATATTTTAATAGTAAAAATATATATGTTTAAATTTCTTTTTAAAAAGACACATAATAACAATACTTCAGAAGACTGATTTAACTTCTCCCCACTTCCCACAACTGTCCGCCCTGGCAGGATACATTAAGGCAAAGGCTCCAGGAGAGAGACATCCACCTTGGCTGTGGCTGGAGAGACTGAAGGTGAGCACATGGCTCCTTAGAGGGTCAAGAGAAAGGCTTTTCCCTCATGTTCACCGAGCCATCCTGCATCCCAAAGTACACTCTCTCAGCCATGTTGATGAACAGACCTGTGTCTACCACACCTGCAGGACAAAGGACAAAAAGAAGTATTAAGGTTCAGCTTCCCAAGACAAGAATCAAGGACTGCAGGATCACTGGAAGCAAACATTGTTAAGTAGCACTGAACAAATCTGAAGTGTTGCTCTCCACAAAGCAGAAAGAGATTCTGGCTATCTTTATTATCTTCCTGCCGCCTCTTTCACCCTTCCTATTATGTCTTTCTTCAGAAACCCAAATGTTCCAGCTCTGTCCATCAGTGAGTGCCTTTGCTTGTGCTAGTCCCTTTGCCTGATCTCTTCAATTGCTTAAAGGGTTGCTCTTCTTTGTCCTTCCAGTGTATCAGATGACACATCTTCCACAGAGACCCTCCAAGATTACTCTAAGTAGCCCCCACTCCCAGTTATTTTCAATTACACTACCAATCTTCCTCAGAGAAGAGATATTTCCAATGCACACACCTGATAAAGGAAACACATCAAAACATAAATGATTCCTCAAATAACAAAGAAAAGGACAACCTAACAGAAAAACTGTTGTTTTCCATAGCCAAGATATGGAATCAATGCCCATCAGTGAACAAATGGATCAAGAAAATGTGGTGTATATATATATACAACAGAATTCTATGCTTCCATCAGAAAGAATGGCATTGCCCATTTGTAAGAAAATAGAAAGACTTGGAAAAAATTATACAAAGCAAAGTAAGCCAGACCCAAAAAAACATAGGCTGCATGGTTTCCCTCCTTTGTACTCATTAGAATGTGCCTATAAATCTACAATTAAACCCAATGGATAGTAAAAGACAAATAACTACACCTGGATATGATTAATTAAACAGCAGTCTAAACATTCACACAATGAGAACAAAGGAGGATATTCTTAGAAGAGGATCAGAAGGATTCAATAGCTATGTGCATATGATTATATAAAGTGATGCTTATGGAAATGAGCTCCAAGAAATAAAAACAACAGGTTTTTTATTGTACTATTTGTGGTTCTTTTCTTTTTTCCTTTTTTTTTTTTTTTTGGTTTATTCCTTTCTGGCACTGTTTTTTATTTTGCTGCCCTTTGTCTTGTATATAAGTTTATCTCATTTGGAGAGGGGAAGGGGAAGCACAGAAACTGTGAGACAAAGCTGAACCAATTCAGAATGAAATCCACTAGACACAATGTTGGAAATGAAGTATACAACTTGAAGGGAAGGGAAACCAGGAGGAGAAAAACTGGAAGAAAATGAGGGAGGGGATGACACTGTTCAAAAGGAAATGCACTCATTACCTGACTTATGTAACTGTAAGGTTACATACCTTTACAATAAAAATGTTTTAAGTATTAAAAAAAAAACAAAAAATGATAAAGATTTCAAAAGTGGGCTAGGGATGTGGCTTAGTGGTAGAATGCTTGCCTAACATGCATGAAGCCATGGGTTCAATTCCTCAGTACCACATAAACAGAAAAAGCCGGAGTACAGCTGTGGTTCAAGTGATAGAGTGCTAGCCTTAAGCAAAAGAAGCTCAAGGACAGTGCCGAGGCCCTGAGTTCAAGCCTCAGAACTGGCCAAAAAAAAAAAAAAGACTTCAAAGGTACTTCATACAATAAGCCACTCAAAAAGGCTAATAAGTGCCTTAAAAGATATTCTAGATACCGGTGGCTCACGCCTATAATCCTAGCTACTCAGGAGGCTGAGATCTGAGGATCTCAGTTCAAAGCCAGCCCAGGCAGGAAAGTCCGTGAGACTCATCTCCAATAAACCACCAGAAAACCTGAAGTGGTGCTGTGGCTGAAGTGGTAGAGCGCTTGCCTTGAGCTGAAGAACTGAAGGACAGCATCCAGACCCAGAGTTCAAGCCCCTCGACAAAAAAAAAAAAAAAAAAAATGAACTATAGCTACAGACAGCCTTTGCCACAAATATCTGCATATACACACAAATACTACTATGAGAAAACACTCAGCAACGAAAACACTCAGCAACTACCAAAGAAAAGGCATGAAGACCGTGGAGTGTATGGAAACAAGGATCTGACACCTTGCCAGTAAAGAATAAACTAATGCTAACTGTGAAAGGCAAGTTAAGACCATCTAGTTAAAAAATATCACAGACATGCTTATCTTTTTGTCTCACAATTTCCTTCTAGCAAAAGATTGGAAACATAGGTGCCGAGGGGCTAGTGGCTCACAATTATAATCCTAGCTACTCAGGAGACAGAGATCTGAGAATCACAGTTCGGAGCCAGCCTAAGCAGAAAAGTCCTTGACTTTATCTCCAATTAATCATCAAAAAAGCCAGAAGTGGAGCTATGCCTCAAATGGCAGAGTGCTAGTCTTGAGCAAAAAAGCTCAGAAACAGTGCCAAGGCCCCGAGCTTAAGCCCCAAGATTGATGTACACATGCATGTGTGTGTATACACACACACACACACACACACACACACACACACACACACACACACACACACACACACACACACACACAAATTGGAAACATAAGTATCTACTGGTCAGGATCTTGTTAAATAATTATTTTATACTGCCATAAAATAGAATACCACAGTTATTTTTTTAAGATGGAGAAGAACAAGGTCAGTCTTTGGTAAACCAATGTGAAATCGTTTCCAATAAGGAGGCAAAAGAACATGAACACAGTGTGTGAACACTTAGGTAAAGAGGGTTCTCTGGAAGAGCTTCAACTTACATTCATATAAAAGATCATATAAAAAAAGAAAGACAGCCTATAATCCAACCTATTTAGGAGGCTGAGATCTGAGGATCACAGTTCAAAGCCAGCCCAGGCAGAAACATCTGTGAGACTTTTATCTCCAATAATCTACTCTGAAAAGGCTGGAAGTGGTGCTGTGGCTCAACTGGTAGAGCACTAGCTTTGAGGAAAAAGAGGCCTGGGCATTATCCCTGATCTCAAGCCACAGGACCACCTTACCCCTCCCCCCCAAAAAAAGAAAGTCTTAATTAAAAAAAGAAGGAAGGAAGGCAGGGAGAGAGGGAGGGAGGGAAGGAGGGAGGGAGGCAGGGAGGGAGGGAAGGACAGCAGTGTACACAATGATATTAGAGATCCTGGTGATCTCTTCAAATTATTGAGATGCTGCAAGTTACTAATCCATTCACCCCAAATGAAACACTGTGCAAGGGCAGAGAGGATTAAATGTGAGCACAGAGAGAAGAGCCCCAATGGCTTTGGTTCTTTCCAAAAAGAGGTGCTCTGCTCCAGGAGGACTGGATCCAATATCCAAGGGCAACAGGTGTCAACAGGAAAAGTGGTCTGGCTTCTCTCTCCATGCTATCAGTTCAACAGCAAAACTAACAGGCAAAACTGGAAAGACAAAAGAAGCAATAACAAACCACTCTGATAGGCATGTTGGTAACACGCTGCTTGATTTAATAGCTAGCCTGTCTTCGTATTCTTTAGGCTAGGTTCTATTTTTTTTTTAAATCTCTGAAAGTATGTAGATTCTATACATTCAGAAGAAGAGCAAAATAGAGAAATATCCTCACAAAGGTCTTCTCAAAGTCTCATTAGACCAAAAAAAAGACCTAAGCAAGAGCAAGGGAGCTCCCTAGTGGACAATGAAAGAAATGCAACAAAGAGGAAACTAAGCAGTATCCTACCCTGACCTATTATGATCAATGGCAAGCTCTCTCTCTCTCTCTCTCTCTCTCTCTCTCTTACTAATTACATAACACTAACCAAAAGAATAAGTATAATGCAATTCATCTGTTTGAAATAATAAATCAGGTAAATACTGGCAATAGTAAACTAATAAAGAAGAATTAGAGACACACAGGAACCTGATGAGTTGAATATTCAATGGCTGGCTTGGGTTAGGTAGTTTCTTCAAATGCTCAGGTGGTTCTTTGCTACCTTGTTACTCTCAGGGATTACAAACAACAACCAAGAACGAAAATCAGATAACCCAAGTTACTGTGTATAGTCATCAACAAAGGGTGAAAAAAATGCAGCTGAGGTATTCAGTAGGCACTATGTTGAAAATGAACTGTGCAACTTGAGGGTAGGGACAGGAGGAAAGGACTGGGGGAGAGCAAGGGAAGGGGTAGCATTTTCCAGGGAGAAATGTACTCATTACCTGACTTATGAAATCGTAACCCCTCTGTACATCACCTTTATGATAACAATGAAAAAAAAACAGCTCTTGTCACTCTGGGCTCCATTCTATGATCTTTGCAGAAATGACTCACAAAGTCACACCAAGAGAAAAATAGCACATTTTTTCTCACGTGTGATATCTAAAAGGCAAACATGCATGATAACATATAAAGGGCTCTATGCATATATACACAAACAAACAATCTAAAGGATAGTATACTTAGGGGAGGAATCCAAAGGTCTAACTCTGAACAACAGATGTACTGTCTATCAAAACTAATACCAGGAAGTGGAAACATGTTATGATAGGGGGAGGGAAAAGGGAAGACAAAGAAATGAAGAGAGGTAGAGTAAGCAAATGTAATCATTATATTCAATGTACATCATGTAAAAATTGAACTACATAACTTGGGGGTAGGGATGTGGTGATGGAGAAAGATGGGAGAGAATGATTTAGGGGTGACACTGATTAAGCACTGTACTTATAACCTGACAGAATTTTAACCTCTGTATGACATAATAATAATAGTTGTAATAATAAAAAAAACAGCTGCTGTGCACTCTGGGCTCCATTCTATGTTATTTGCAGGCATGGCTCACAAAGCCACACAGCTTCCCAGGTTTATACCAATTCCCCCTGAGGACTGAGTCTATGAACAGGAGTAGAACATCTCCTGTGGCCCAAAGCATAGCATCTTCCCTATGACATGCATCTAGTGAAAGTGGGTGAACTGAATCACTCCCCCCTCTGCTAAGAAGACAGCCCAGGAAAATCACAGAGGCTGCAGTCAAGCTCCTGGAAGGACAGGCTCAACTTAGAGATGGTGGCTTTATTTCAAGACAAGCCCCATCTGACCTACATTAGCTGGATAGCTACTCCAACTCAGAAAGACTAAAATATACTCCAAAGCTGCTGGGTAGACAATAATTATTCTTGGGGGAAGAAGGGAAATGAATTCAAAGTAGTAACACCAAATATGGATAGAGGAAATTCTTCTTCCCAAGCAAATTAAAACAACAATAATAAAATAAAACAAAATAGGGTGACTATGCTCAGTAAATGCCAGTTGGGTTACCTGGGATCATTTTAATAGCTGTATTCACTTCACTCCATTTGTGCACCCGGTCAAACTTCCAGTCCAGGATAAAGTTTCCGTTATCTGTCACCACAGGACCCTAGAAGGTAATTTTCCATAATGACCAAGGATAAAGACACTGTAGGCAGAGGCTTAGGGACGTGAAAGTGATAGCCAAAGACAAGCATCATAATTAATGGGCTCCAATAATCAATCCTGCCTTTTGCTTTCTAAAAGGCAGAACTGCAAGAGCTTTAGTCAGAAATACTTGAATTTGAGTCTGAACACCATATAGGAACAGAATTCGGAGACAATATTAACTTCTCTGAGCCTGCTTCTCAATTGCAAAAGGTGTACAATGTATACTTCACAAGGAAGCTGATATGCATTATAACATTATAGCCCATTATAACTTCCCTACGATCAGGAAGTCCCATCAAAAAGACTGGCAACATTGCTACGTATGGTGATTCACACCTGTAATCCTAGCTACTCAGGAAGCTGAGATCTGAGAAGTATGGTTCGAATATAACACCAGCAGGAAAATCTGTGAGACTCTTATCTCCAATTAACCACCAAAAATCCAGAAGTGCTGTGGCTCAAGTAGTAGAGCACTAACCTTGAGCAAAAAAGCTCAGGGAAAACACCCAGGCCCTGAGTTCAAGCCTGAGGACCAGTTTAAAAAAAACAGCAGGAAGCAGAGACAGGGTCAGAGGTCAAACAGGCAGAGCTTTAGTGTTTTAGTTAATTAGTCCAGCATTCCTCAACAGCTTTGGACACTAGAAAAGTAGACTGAGTGTTTAGGAACACAAATGTTGACAGAACATCAGGACCACAGGCAAGGAAACTAGATCTCCCACACAAACTGAAGAAGAGAGAGTAAGAGCTCAGTTAGGGTTCTGTCAAATGAGGGCTGGTATTCCACCTGGGTTAAGCCAGCTAGGAGAAAGACCCTACACCCTCGCCTCCTGGCCTTCCAGCTACAAATGAACATAAGACATCAGTGAGGGCCCTGTACAACCACTACAATTAGGATAACTTTTTTTAAATCATAACAATACCAGGAAGTAAACATGACAAAATAAAAATATATCAAAGGGATAGTTACATATCATCTATTTCTATCTTCCAAACTTCTCACATAGTCAAAATTGAACTATAGAAACACTGAACTATAGTTAGGTTTTAGAGTGGTTACTTTTATTTAAGTATAAAAGAAAACAAAAGTTTTTTGCAACCCAGTTTAGAATTTGAAGAAAATCATACAGACTCAAGTATCTAGAGTATATTCCCTGATGAGGTATTCACCCCCAAAAGTTCTACTTCTTGTCACAGAATGTGAGTAAAGAGAAGAAAAATATTATAGAACTTGAAAACATTCTGTTCCAGGGGATTTGAGACCAGCAATTCACCAAGACTGTCCAGGTCTCAGGTACAAAGGTTAGAGGTGTGGACAGTCACTTGAGGAACATCAGATCCCAAGACATAGAAACAGAATTTTTCTCCCTTTTGTGCCAGGGAAATGTATTGTATTGACTATCATCTTAATCTACTTTGAGATTGAATATAGAAATGAATAGACCCAACTCTAAGAACAAACAGACTAAAAATAAAGGTTACAGTGGCTTATTAGAGCAGAAAGAACAACAGAGAGCTGAAGGGCCTCTGGACACTTCTCTGGCCACTTACTGCCTTGTTGACAGCCATTCGAAGTTCAACTTCACCCCCAAACTTCCGGGTCACAGCTCGGCTCACTGGGACATAGGCCATTGGGATGACCTCAATAGGGATTCCCTTGTGCCACTGATCCCCAAGATTCACTGAATCTTTCCTAGGAAGGCACAATCAAAAAGTACATTAGAATTAAATAAAATAAATGTTACAAACATCAGATTCAGGAATGGGGTTAAATTAGATCCTGTGAGGACAAAAAATAGTAACCAGAAAGAACAGGGGGCTTCAAAGGTATTGGCTGTTTCATAATTAGGAGGTATTTGAAATATGACAACAATATTAAAGTTTGGTAAAGCTGGCTTTTCAATCATTTGTTGATTTGCATATAAGTATTTATTACTTTTATCTTTCCTGCAGCTGTATTTCACAAGTAATTACATACACACATTTTAACATGCTATGCTCAAGCGCTTCCTCCCAAACTTCTTGAAACAGAATCCGAGAGATTGGTCAAAGACTGTCCACATAATATGAGTTATGTGTGGCAAGCTCTGACCCAGGAAGAAGCAGGGTATGCTGAGTCACTGCATGTGGGCAGAGCCCTGAGGATCCAATGAGTGACATTTGATAACAAGCTCCACTAACAGGGTTATAGACTGTCTCTCCTCACGAAAGCATAAAACACTGCTTAATTCTGGCTAAGTGTAATACTGCTGTGATAACAACATCCACCTTTAACATGGAAACAAGACAGAGAGATACTACTGTCCTAAGTCTCAGAAAGCCAGAGAGTCCTTCCATTTCTCCATAAACTTCCTCTTCTATAATTGGGAATGAGAGCTGAGGTCCAATCTACCTTCTAAGCAAGCAGGTCAGAACACTGCACACTACCTGAAATCAGCAATCACAATGAACCGACTGGCATAGCCAGCCACAATCTTCTCCTGAGTCAAGCAGCCTCTGAGAAAAGAAGTGAACATAGGAGGTGTAAGGTCACATACAGGAACCTCAAATCTGCTGAGTCCTGACATTTAGTGAGATTTAACTTTTGAGATTTAACTTTTGAGTTAAATCTAAATTTGTTAAGTTTAACATTCAGTTTTCAAGTTGTAAAGAGTCATTCTTAATCCCACCATTCTGCTCCCAGTATATGACTTACAGGAGTATCAGCCCATACCTGGGAGAAATCTAGCAAATGAACAGTGTTCCATTCAGTCCTGCCATAATCCCTTCCAAGATGCTTCCAGGAGGAAGTAGTATGCTCAAGACATGGCCTGAGAAGAGCAAGTTTCACCCAACCTACTCTCATAGACTATTTCGCAGTCAGGGTTTGGGAGTAGAAATAATCCCAGACAAATAAAAAAATGCTGAAATAAGGATACAGGATGACCCATTATAACAACAAGATGTACAAGACACTATGTTGGACTCATTACCTTGCTCATGTAACTGTAACCCTTCTGCACAGTATCTTTACAATAAAAAATATATATTTAAAAAAAAAGAAATAGGTGGACTGGGAAGGTGGCTCAGTGGTAGAGCGCTTGCCTTGCATGCATGAGGCCCTTGGTTCGATTCCCCAGCACCACATAAGCAAAAAGAAAAAAGCCGGAAGTGGCGCTGTGGCTCAAGTGGTAGAGAGCTAGCCTTGAGCTGAAGAGCTGAGGGACAGCGCCCAGGCCCAGAGTTCAGGCCCCACGACCGGACCCAAAAAAAAAGAGAAATAGTCCCAGACAGAATCTGCAGATCAAGTCTGCCTGTCTCTACTAGTAGCCTACTATTTCACATATGTAACCAGAAGAATGTGTAACACATTCAAAAAAATTAAAGTACAGTTATTCAACAGTCTGCTTGACTATTAAGAACTAATAGAACAAAATTCAACTTTTTCCACTCACCATTCCACACTCTCCAAACCAGTACTTAACAAAAACCCATACTTTCCAAATAAGGAATAGCAACGCAGACTGCTCACTGACATAAGAACAGGTTTAAAGTAAAGGCCACTGACTTAACCATCTAATCAAATAGTATACCAGAAAGTCCCATAGCACTTACCCACCACCCTTGATGAGATTGAGTTCAGCATCTACTTCATCAGCACCATCGATGGCGAGGTCAATCTGTGTAAGGGGAGATACAAAAACCACTGAGAATCTCATGAGATGAAAGCACATTTTCAAATTTGGCCACACAATAATAGTTCATTAAGTCCTCAGCAACTCTATTAGCTAGGTTTAGTATTTCTACTTAACCAATCAAGAGACTGACATTCCAGCAGGTTAAGCCACTTCACTAGGGTTAAGGTTGAAATACAAACCTCAATCCAGCTCGAAGCCACACACTATGCTCCCTTTTCTCATTGATGGAATTCTCCATGAACAAGATAGAATTCCTCAGAGCATGCATTCCCAACATAGGCAATTTCACTTCAAAGGAAATTATCCTAGTTGTTATGGTTTTGGGCCCTCCAAAGCACCATAAGTATACAAACAGATATACAAAATATCTACAGTATTAAAATCCATGGGGAGGGGAAAGGTCAATAACAAAGAAAAAGCTAAGGAAAGCTGGTTTCTGAAGTTGGTATTGATGTGAGCAAATACAAGCAATTTTAAGTGGACAGGAATACCAAATGGAGACCTCTCCAAAGAAGTTGACAAATATTCAGTGTATTCCTGATTTGGAGATTATCCAAGGTGTTCACTAAGACTTCACAAAGCAACTGACTGCATTTCCCAACCTCTGTATTAAGACCTTCCTCTGTCAGCCCCAAAAGCAGTCAGGGAGCCCATAAATTCATTCATCTTTCATAAATCAAAATCAAGCTGGTTGCTAGTGACTCTCACCTGTTAATCCTAGCTACTCAGGAGGCTGAGATCTGAGAATCACAGTTGGAAGTCAGCCTGAGTGTGAGACTCTTAGCTCCAATAAATCAGAAGTGTCAAAAATTGTCTCACTGAAGTCAAGTAACAAAATGAGCACTTTCATGAACTAGTTCAAAGTTGTTTTGCTTTATGATCTAAGGAAATCTAAGCTAAGCACACATCTGTTCACACTGCTATAAGCCATTTTTGGTGCTACCTGTGTCAGAGAACAGTAAGAACACTGTTCAGCTTGCAAGGGAGAATTTCTCATTCATTTGTTGTCCTCAACTTTTCTTAAACACCATTTTCCTCACCAGGACTCCCACCTGCCCATCCCAGCTAAGTATGTTTTATCTCTGCTACTATGATAGGTCATCCTGTGTGATTAACACGTAGCCAATAAAAAAGAATGGCACTGCCAATAAAAAAAAATAAAAATGGAGCTATGGCTCAAGTAGAGTGCTAGACTTGACCAAAGAAAGGTCAGGGACAGAGGACCCTGAGTTAAAGAGCCAGGACTGACTGGCACCAAAAAAAAAAAAATCAAACTCAATAAAGCAGGATTTCAAGAAAGCACTGCCCATACTCTGTATGGGCAACATGGTAACTTTAGGTAAGGTTTTTCTCAAGTAGTAATATGCAAGGGACACATTCCACCTATGCTATAGCTGCTTGACATGGCTAGGGTAGCACAGGTATAAAGCCTAGAAAGTTTCAGAGAAGCACACAATTTCTATCCTTTCACAGCATGTCTGAAGCTGCAGTTTGCATTATTCTCCCCCAACCTGCACATAAGGCCAGGATACACTGTGGAAACTATATGCCAGGAAAGTGCTACCTTTTCTGTCTAGTATCTGAACCCACCTTCAGCCAAAAGTACATTCTTTATAGCTGCCGAATTGCTGATTCAGCTTGTGCCTCCAGCTCTACCCACAGTCCCCCAAAAAAGCCTTCCATGGGTCTTACTAACGCCTCAAACCATTTGTGTATCAAAGTGGTACCCTCTTAGTTCTCACTACGCACCAACACATTCCACTCACTCTGTCCAAATCACCCCAGAAAGTCTGGGCACTGTCCATATATGCCCACATGCCTGTGGTTCCTACTTACCCATCTGAAAGGTCCTCTCCTGCCCATCCACTTCAGCTCCAACATTACCACTTCCAACAATTCTAACACTGTCCTACTGCTCTTCTAACCACTGTTCTAGAGGCAGTAGTAAACAAGTTCTAATTCTGGGCATGCTCCTTATTCTGTGGCCTTAATCATATGATATACTCTTAACTGTGCCTTCTTCATATCTCTAAAGTAGAATAAGTATATTATCCACCATCAGACTGCTGGATGCTAAAGAACTTAATATAGGAAGAACAGTCCTAAAACCTGATACCTAATAATGGTTCAGAAAATGTGCTGCGATCACATGTCAAACTGCTCATTTTCATCTTTGGTCTTTTCTAACAACCCCTAGGAGTAGGTCTCTACTGTAAAACTTGTCAGTTTTCAAAATATCAGTTTTCACGGCTGCCACAGATAATGACTTCTTGTCTCCACTTAAGTGTAAATTCTATGGACTAGCTCACTCTTTTGCATTTCTTAGAAAAAGTTATCTTAAGAAGCACTAAACCCTAAGCTTATCCAGTTCCTTTTTATGAAAGGCATACTTAACTCAAAACTTGGAGTTAAGTCCCAGGTAATCTACCTTGTACTATACCAATAACATCAACTAACCACCTCTCCTCTGTGACCTCAGCCAGAATGAATACTCAGGGTCCTAGAAGAAAAGTTAATATAACTAAACTATGACAAACTAGTCTTAGTTGCCAAGATATCTGGAGTGCATGAACAAGTGAGAACTATAAAGGAAAAGGAAAGAAATGTACAATAATCTATGTTTCTCTTACCTCTGGGTGTCGATCCAGGTCACTGAGGGTTAAGCCATATTGTAGGATGAGCTGCCGGGCCTGAGGAAAGACAAGAAAACGCACTCGTAATCATTTGTTCAAAATACATGGCAAGGATTCTCAGAATTCCTTTGGAGTTAAGTGTCAAACCCGGAGGCCTCATGAAAGTTCCCACTCAAATCCCAACCTGGTCTACCTAGGCCAGGAGATGGAGCCACACAAATGACAAAACTAACTCAGTGACCTGTTGCTTAGAACTATTCCTAAAACATTGAACAATATACATTTTTTAAAAATTAAAAAAGTCTTTGCTGAGCAAGGTTGCACACCTCTTTTTCCAACATTCAGGAGGCCAAGATAGGAAGATTGCAAATATCAAACCAGCCTGGCTACATAGCAAAAAAGGAAAAAGGGGAGTTGCAAAAAAGAAAAAAGGGGAGTTTAGGGATCTATAGCTCAGTGGTAGAGTATTTGCCTAGCAAATGCAAGACTCTGGACTTGATCTCCAGGACTTTAAAAATAAATTAAGAACCAAGCTCACAAGAATCTTAGTTTTTTTTTTTTTCATTATTAATTAGCTGCAAAAAGGATTATTTAAAGTTTTTTAACAATCTAACAACCCAAGCACAATGATGCATATCTGTAATTCTAGAATTCAAGAAGCTAAAGCAGAGAATCATTTTGGCTAAATATAACTCAAATATAAAATACATATATGCATACAAAGAAATACATAAATAAATCCTAAGGTATGAGAAAAAGGCTACAGATCACTATGTATTGATAGAGAACAATTTATTCTTATATATTTACAAATTTTTATATATTTATATTTTCAGTGCAGAATTTAGGTTTTAACTTGCTAAGCAAGAATTTTGTCACTTGAACCACACCTACAGTCCAAGTAAAAATATTTTAAAGGATACGATAAATAAGAGAAATTTAAACCCCAGGTTTTTACGTGATGCTATAGTCAAAGTAAAAATAATTTAAAGGATAAGAGCAATAAAAGAAATTTGAACCCTAGGTTTTAACTTGATGCTATGAAGGAATACTAATTTTTAATATCATTATTGTTAAGAGATCCTTTGTCCTTCAGAAAGACACAATAAGGTTTATGCAATGAAATGATATTCTGCTGGGAATTTGTTTCAAAATAATGGTTGAAGGAGGAGGATGAAATATAAATTAAGGCGGAGCCAGTGGCTCAAGCCTGTAATCCTAGCTACTCAGGAGGCTGGGATCTGAGGATCATAGTTCAAAGGCAGCCCAGGCAGGAAAGTCTGTGAGACTCTTATCTCCAATAAACCACTAAAAAACCAAAAGTGGCCCTGTGGCTCAAGTAGTAGAGCGCTAGCCTAAAGCTGAAGAGCTAAGGGACAGAGCCCAGTCCCAGAGTTCAAACCCCACGACCGACAAAAGAAGAAAAGAAATATAAATTAAACAGAATTGACTGACCATGAATTAATATTTTAAACTGGGTGGTTAGTTCAGTGAAGTTCATTTTACTGTTCCTTTTTTCTTTTAGAAGTTGGAAGTTTTCTACAATAAAAAAATCTAAAATAAAAGCTTGGCACCAGTGGCTCATGCCTGTAATCCTACCAAATCAGGAGGCTGAGATCTGAGGACTGTGGTTCAAAGTCAGTCGGGGCAGGGAAGCCCGTGAGACTTATCCACAATAAACCACTCAAAAAACTGGAAGTGGCACTGTGGCTTAAGTGGTAGAGCTGAGGGGCTGAAGAACAGAAGAGCTGAGGGACAGGGGCCAGGCCCAGAGTTCAAGCCCCACAACCAACCAAAAAAAAAAAAAAAAAACTAAAATAAAATGTTGCCTAAATAGGGCTGGGAAGGTGGCTAAGTGGTAGAGTGCTTGCCTTGCATGCATGAGGCCCTGGGTTCGATTCCTCAGCACCACATAAGCAAAAAGAAAAAGCTGGAAGTGGCACTGTGGCTCAAGTGGTAGAGTGCTAGCCTTGAGCTGAAGAGCTGAGGGATAGCGCCCAGGCCCAGAGTTCAGGCCCCACAACCGGACCAAAAAAAAAAAAAAAAAAAATTAAAAAAAAAAATGTTGCCTAAATAATAACAGGATAAATGAAAAAAACTAAAACTTCTGTTTTAATTATAGAATAATACATAATGAAGGAAGGGAGTAATAATAAATGGTACTAAAGTGGTAGAGCTGAGGGGCTGAAGAGCAGAAGAGCTAAGGGACAGGGGCCAGGCTCAGAGTTCAACCCCCACAACCAACCAAAAAAAAAATAAAATAAAATAAAATAAAATGTTGCCTAAATAATAACAGGATAAATGAAAAAAACTAAAACTTCTGTTTTAATTATAGAATAATACATAATGAAGGAAGGGAGTAATAATAAATGGTACTGCTGGACTCTTTCTGGCTTGCTAGATGTAGTATTACTGAAACCACATTAATTACATTCCCTGAGGCCTGGCCCCAGTGATCTCCATTCATTTAGGATTCCTGCCTTCTGATATCTTTCTCCACAGTCCTAGACTGTGTGATCAGTGGCAGAGAACAGATAGTATCACACTACTGAGATTAGTTAATAAATGATGCTGTGCAGAGAAGGAAGGACAGGAGAGGATGGATATTCAAGTGTGAGAACACACACATGCTCTAACATATACACCTCACACTGTACCTCATTAATAAACACAAATATTTCAATCATAAACATAACATTTAAAATAAAAAATAAAATAGAATAGGGCAACATTTCACTCCATCAAATAAAATGAGTTTTTCAATAACTGAGCACAGGAGGTTGCTTTTATAGACAGAAAAGCTATAGAAAGCAGAAACAGATTGGCCATTTCAATGTGACTTTCCTAGTAAATTAAAAGAAAGAGGAAATAGAATAACTAATTGGTTAATTCCAAGATTACTTTTCTGTTTAAAGCAAAACAAACTTCATTATCACTCCAATGGAAACTAGCCTGTTTAGGAAACTTGGCTGTTACCCTTTATTCTCCTGATAGCTTGGGAGGACAAAAAACAACCTAGTTTCAGTTTGGTGATATGGAATTTTTATCATTAACTACATTCTGATTACTGGCCTGGTCCACTTAGTACACAAGTCCAGTCTAAAACAATGGCCTCTCAATAACCAGTATATGTCTGAGTCAAGCAGAAAAGGTCAGATAAGTTGATGTTAGGGAAATAAATCTCAAGATAAATATTCAAATGTTTTTTTTCTTTCATGCAATTGTTTCTAACATATTTATAAGATGATTTCTTTGTTGCTTTGTATGTCCCTCCCTCACGGTATGACCCGTGCTTTCACTGTATTTGACGTCGGTATAATTTGTGGAGAGGAAGGGAAAAAACAAATCGTTTAAATAGGGATACAGGTGGAGCCATTGCAACAATGAGACATACAAGTCTTTAAGTCGAAAAACAAACTTTACAACTTTGGGGGGGGGAGGATCAGGTAGGGGGAGAGGGGGTATGGGAAGGGATGGGAAGGGGAAAACAAAGGAGGAGGCAACAATGCTTGATAAGAAATGTACTCGTTATCTTCCCCATATAATTGTAATCCCTCTGTATGGTATTTTCACAATAAAAAATTAAAAACAATGGCCTCCTCTATTTTTACTTAATATAACTGAAATCTAGGTCCTTACATGACCTCAGGATCCCTCAGGAATAAAATATTCTAATAAAATACTCAGGTCCCCCACTATCCCCCTTCCTCCGACTACTCTCCTTCCACCACCTCTGGCCTGATTCCCCACATGTGGCCCTACAGCTAAAAAGAGAAATCACAAGTACAATCTCATGAGTCTCATTCTCCCTGAGTGCTGGGGTTGAACTGTGTTCCCCACAAAGATTGGCCTAATCCTGCACACTTGAAATCCCAGGATGGACGGTTGTAGGCTAGCCATGGGAAAAATGGGAAAACTATCTCAAAAGCAAAATGACTAGAGTGTGGCTCATGTGGCAGATCACTAGGCCTTCACTTCAATCTCCAGTACAAAAAAAAAAGAAAAAAGATATGTTAGAATCCTAAGCTCCAGTACCTCAGAGTGTGTGCTCTCTTGGAGACAGGGCCATCATAGGTTATCAAGCTAAAATGAAGTTATCAGAGCCACACACTGGTATCTTTATAAAAAGGGGACATTTTCACACTGACACATACACAGGAAGAAGAGCACATAAGCATGAACTAGATGTCAAGGTTATGGACCCACAAGCCAAGACACATCAAAGGCTGCCAGTAATCCTCCAAAAGCACAGAACAAGCCTCAGAAGGAAACTCTAGGCATACTTTGATGTTCGACTTCCAGAATGATGAGACAAAAATTTTGCAACTTTAAAGGCTTTCAATTAGTGGTACCTGTAGGGCGCTAGCCTTGAGCTGAAGAGCTGAGGGACAGTGCTCAGGCCCAGAGTTCAGGCCCCATGACCAACAAAAAAAAAAAAAAAAATTCCTCAACTAGTGGTACCTTGTTGGAGCAATCTTATCAAATGTACAACAAGTTCAAAAAGGCCTCCCTACCACTAGCTCATCCAGCAGCCGTGGTCTCCTGAAGGTATAAAGCAAACAGCCCTACCCACCTCTTCCAGCCAAGCTCTCTCAAATGCACAAAGCAGGAAAGTTAATGATTTGCTTGTGCTTCTGGAAATAGGAGCCTTCTGAAAATAATGCTTTCTCATTGGAATTCCATAATGTCTTAAGAACAGTGGCATGTAGCAGGTGAGCAGTTCTTGTCTTTTATAAATTTCATAACCTAACTGAAAATTCCACACTTTCCCTCCTATCTAATCTACACTTTCCCTCAATCTAGTATTTGAACAAAAAGAAAATAAAGTCCTGGTGCAGGTGGCTCATTCCTGTAATCCTACCTACTCAGGACACTGAGCTCTGAGGATCATGGTTCAAAACCAAACCAAGCAAAAAAGTCCATGAAACTCTTATCTCCAATTAACCACCAGAAAACCAGAAGTGGGGCTGTAGTAGCTATGGGATGGCACCCAAGCCCTGAGTTCAAGCCTCACAACTGACAAAAAAAAAAGAGGGGGTTGATTTGGGCTTAAATCA